GATACAGGTAATACTCAACCAACAAAACAGACATATTCAGACTACCTTGATTTCTTTGGAGAGTGCTTGGTTGCCTCCCATAGTTAGGTTTACTATGAAGGAAGCAATTAATGACAAGTTTCTGCTGCTATTTTAGTTTGTCATTGTACTGCTGCTTGTTTATGCCAATTTTTTAAGATAGCCACATCACTCTCTATATTGATGAAAGCAGATACATATTTTGAATGAGAGGATGAATGGCGGCAAGAACTCCAGTTTCTAAAACTTATTTTTATGAAAGATTATTCATTACTCCTAGATACTGAAGACAGTGATAGTGTAATTGGAGCAGTTTTACCACAGATACAGGAATGCACAGGCTGTGTAGATGAACAACTCTTGAATGCTCATACTGTATGATATCTAGAACTAATGCAATTACTTCTGTCTTAAAAAATTCCCTGTTTGCACACCTGAAATAACTGGTAAAAGCCATTACAGCAACAGTGATGATGAACCATCTAAGTGGTGATAATTCTGCTTGTGGATGATTATTTAAGAGCGTTGGGCTAAACAAATAAAGGACCAACGTACAAATACAGCTTAGATGCTATTTGCCATGTAGAAAGGTGAAATATGACCATCACAAACTGGTTAATGCAGTACTGATGCATGTATATCATGTGAAATGTGTAAAGTCAGTTATGAATGAAGGATGATATAGTGTACCATTTTTATGAACCAACAATATGTGTTATCTATTACTCTAAGGCAGAAGATACTTTGGATTTTGCGTAATGCATGGATTGGAGTGTTACACATCATTGTAAATATGATTAAACAGCTTTTCTGTACATATTCGTGTAAAGACAGTGTGTGTGTGTGTGAGGGGGCGTTGAAAATGCACACTTTCTATATAATCCTTCAGTGTCAATAAGATGCTAAGTTTGTGACCTTAAGTGAGACGATCAGGATAAGCACTTATTTGATCGCATGATAGCATTCCATGCAACTAAGCAATAATAAACTGGCTATTCTCTCAATTTCTATACAGACAAGAAGTACAGTTTCTAGTGTATCTCGAATTTCGAAAACTACTCTAAATTAGTAGATTTAACGTGTTATAAATAAATTAGATCACCCATATTGTGTGTGTGTGTGTTATAGCAAAGTCACATCGGGCTATCTGCTGCATCCACCGAGGGGGAATAAAACGTCTGATTTTAGCTTTGTAAATCCGCAGACTTTCCGCCGTCCCACCGTAGGACTCATCCATATTACTCCGACAGCAAAATATCAGCATTTAATTTATTTGAAAACGTAAAATTAAAAAAAAAACTATTATTAGTTAGCTAAAAAATTCAATGAAATACGCTAAGAAAAGTTTTAGTATTGGAATGAAAACTAGTCTAGTTAGATATTTACACGGAAATACGAAAATTGCACCACAGTGAACTAAAGTACTTGCAAGTTCAGATCCTGTGTATATTTTATTACACTGGGGATATCTTGCATGGTTTTATTCATTGGTTTGTTTTCTAAATATATATAACAAACTACAAAAATAATTTTCAGTGTCATCTGACACAGAAAATTTGGAAATAGAATAATAAGTTCCCACCCACAATGTAAAGTTTATACAACTTACTTTAAAAGTACTTATGAAAATGTTCTATACTGGATCTGTATTTACAAACATATATAACTTATAACTTAGTAAAAGTAACACAAAAGTTCCTTTTTTATCAACTTGTACCCACGAGAAATGGCGCATGACAATATAAGCTCAAAACTGTGTTCAATTGAGCTTCCAGACCAACATTCTTTGCTTGATACAGTGTTCATAAGCTTCCATTTGTTATAAAATTATCGGACAACGACTTACTAGTTTTATCGAAAACTACCATATCATGACTTTAGATATAAGCCTTGAATCTTTTTATCCTCCTTAAATAAGATTGCGTTTCTTCGTGATGTAAAAAGTACTTAAACGTACAAAAATAACAGATCGATCACTTCATTTCAGTCTGTCTGTGCACGGACACTCTTGGTCGTATCGATTGTTTCGCAGTAAAAACATGATAAAGAATGATGAAACGATGGTAAAGTTAAAGAAGCTGATCTTGCGAGAAGTATTATAAACGTATGAAAATAAAAATGAATAATTAAATACAATATGTTAGGTTATCTAAATTATCGAATAATGAACCCTCAATTTGGGTGAAAATCAAACGTTTTATTTTGTTTTTACAGGATATAATGTACAATTAATGTTGTTTACAGTTTCAGTTTTTTTTTTTATAAAATGATCAAAATCTTAATTGTTAGTAACGCGACTATCTGTAGTATTTAAATATACTCTTTGTAAGCTGGTATGGTTGCGACAAATAAAATAATTTAAAACGGCAAATGCTTCAACACATCATTATACACTCGAAAAAGATATTTAACAAAAGTCAATTTAAACTGTGTTTGTACCTCTGTGCACTCATGACACAATAATATTAAGGTTCCTGGTGTGCGTATGTTAAGGAAACATCTACAGTGTCACTCATATACACTTAGTCGTCCTCGACGTAAAGATAACAGAAAATCCTGTGTGTATTTGAGTGCCTTCTTCCGTTAAATGCAAATTTTCAAGTGGGCAGAAAAGAAACAATAGACAAAGTGATGTTTATGCACAAGCACACAAATCAAGTTTAAAGCGTAAACTAGTTTTTATACTTCAAGTGTACAAAGCAAATACCTTTTAATTGTAATACCAGAGTGGATTCCTCTTCCTTATTTACACGGATCCTTCATAAGCAAACACATGTGTGCGTCTAAAAATAAAATTTTTGGCACTGAGTTTTCCAAATAACACTTGTTGTTCCATACGCCATTAGATTAGCAATGTGGCTATGAATTAACTATCTTATTTTCCTTTTTTTTAGCCAATTAAACTAAACTTAATCTCCGAAATGAAAATGAACCTTTAGCTACCCAGGCTAATTATAATGAGTTTACTGGCAGGATTGTAGCCTTCGGACCCTGATACAAATCGGAAATGTATATGGTTCCTTTTACAAATTGTATCCATAAAACAATTTGCACGCAAATTTATCTGTATGCTAAGTTAAAATCAAAAGCCAAGTAGAAATGTTTTTACAGAAAGTCAAAATACTGATAAATTTATATGATTTATAATCGTTAATTAAACCTAAAGTTTGAAGTTCTCTGGGCTGATGTTTGCTGTACTGTGAGGATTGGTGTGTTGTTAAGCACAAGCTTACACAATGGGCTATCTGTTTTCTGTCCACTGCGGGTATCAAAACCTGATTTTTAACGTTGCAATCACGTAGACGTATAGCTGAGACGTTATGCCTGAAAGTTCTGGTGTAAATGCACCACCTGTAATTACCCTGTTTATCAATCCATTATAGAAAACGGAATTCACTGCTGTCTAAGAAATATTATTAAATTTATTACGTATATACGAAGAAGCATATCACACATTGATACATAAAATACATATATATACAAATACTGAGTATTTTCTCCCAAAAACGGAAAAAAGCGCTTTTCTAATATTTGAAAACAACCAACATGCGAAATGCGCAAAATTCCAGGAATAAAATTCAATAATATAAAGAAATTACTTATTGATATACAGTTCGATTATGTCTGATCGTTATACTGCACAATTTAAAACACTTTAAAAGACGCCGATGATTAGTAAATCTTCTGCCTTCCTTAGGTAGGATACGGAAATAATATGCCAGAAAGTTGAAATGTCTCTTTTCAATGCACTTCTCACGAAATCATCATCTCTATCAACCTATTCTGTTCTTGAGGAGCAGTATCAGCCAACCAGATTCATAAGCATGGTGATAGTAACCATTCTTTAAAATAAATATCCATTAATGCATCCAGTATCTCGAAGTTAAACATTCTAATGAACAGTATGTACAAGGAGATATTTCCTAAAGCCATTCAGCTGGTGGAGTAAAAACTACAGAATTTCACCAGTAATTCTAAGCAGAGTTTCTCAATGATTAATGCCCATGCTGTAGCTTAATGGCTTTATCCTTTCTAAAGATTGCTAAAGTAGGTTAGTTATATTCCAATGTAAAACAATACTAAACCAGGAAATCGAAATCAGTCAGTAAACTATTTCAATTACTTTAAAGCAGCATTCGATTCAGTACACAATGGTTCTGTATGACACATACTTAAGATGTATGGGTACAGAGAAAATCCTAACAATCACAAGTAGTGTACGCGACAACACTCAGTGTTATGTTAGATAATGAGGCTAACTGTCAGATTTCTTCCTGATAGAAAGAGGTGTAAAACAAGATGTGTGTTCACACTTATATTTGGTATGCTAACGCACTGGGTTTTAACAGTTAACAACTTTCGTTAAAGAAGAAAGGGGTATTATTAACGAAAAACGTAAAGGTTCCACATCCCCTGGATAGATACCGTGTTAATAACAAAACTGTCTGAGAACTTATGGAATAAAGACCTTTGAGCAAAACCATACGAAAATATTTACTACGAATGAATGATGAAATAATGTCAAACTTCTTATAAGTGGACTTCAAGTGGAAGCCAGAAAAAAGGAAGCCAAAGAACAACTTCAGAAAATATCAAAAAATATACCAAAACATCATAAACTTCAACTGGTCTATTAAGGAGTTAGAGAGTTTTAAGATCAACTACTCTGGAGAAAACTAATGATTAGGACAGCAACTTTGGCCACATATGAACGTTTAATAAGGAAAAAAAAAGTTGTAAATACCTCTTTTATGGAAAATCGTTCTATTAACTTGTTGGCACATTAGATTTTTTTATTGTTTGTTTTTGAAGTTAAGCACAAAGCTACACAATCGAGTATTTGTGCTCTGCCCACCGCGGGTATCGAAACCCAGTTTCTAAACACATTAGAGATTTTCCTTTTATCATTAAAAAAAAGCAAATACATTACTTATGCTTCGTTTAATTTCATATTACTAAAAGTGCCTTATTTTATCACCCACCTTGATGGTTCAGCGGTAGGTGAAAGGGCTTAAAACACTAGAAATCCGTATTTGATCTCGGCGGTGGGCACAGCGCAGCTACCCTGTTATATAGCTTTGTACTTGATAAAAAAATAAATAAAATATTGTTACCGAAACGAACAAATAACCCCATTGACATACCAGGAATTCTAAATATATTCAATACATGATCAATTTTATTTAAGGAATAGATTTGCCATTTAGATAAAAAATGCATTGTGATTGGATTATTAAGATAAAAAATGCATTGTGATTGGATTATTAAGACTCTAAGTATTACTCAGCCAAAATCCTACAAACATTCGAATATTTTAAAACAGAGAAAGTGGGGTGATTCATACAGTGGAAGTCGAGGTTTCAAATAATCTATCCTTTCAAATAACGTGTATTCTGTCCTTAAAGAGATCAAACTATTATTTTATATAGACCTAATCAATAACCGTATGTGCAACTTTATGTCGTATGAAGAAATATTCATATTTGAGAATTTTATTTTCTAAGCAAAAAAATAACACACGCTTGACTTGTTGAGCAGCTTGTAATTATTATATACATATGCGGTTATGTAAAGATAAACATTTGGAATCATTCTGCAAGTACAGTATACTGAAATGTGAATACATGAAGGAGAGTAGAAACTGGTTCTTAAATACCACAGTTACTTTGGTGGTACAAATATACATACATCATATACACTGGTCTTCTTAAGGGAAAATGTGTTACTCAGAGCTCACTCAAATACGAGAAACTCTAAGTATTATGTTGATCTGGTAAAAAAAATATATCAGAATTATCAGAGCTCTTTCAATCCACAGGCTTATAACAGAAAGAACGATATCACTGCGATTAATCAAAAAATAACTTATGAAGTGGTAAAATAATTAAATGGTGATAAAAGTTCCACATCCTTCATGCTTTTAAACATGACCGGATCATAATTAATTTTTTTATTTCCTCCATTAGGAAGAAATATCTTTAGGAAATGTCTGAAATTTTCAAACTAACAATTATCATGTTACATAATTTAATCGCATTATTATTTATTGGTCCTATATCAGTTTCCGGTACGAATGGTGTATAGTAACGTTTTAACAGCACTTTATCTTTCGCGTGATACTAATGACGAAATCTCCCGCCCAACGTCACACTTGTAATAGTTGAAATATTCATATATACTAGCAGAGATCCGCAAAACATTTCTGGCCAGATTAGTATCTTTATCGTAACAGTACTTCTTTAAATATAACATTTCTAGCACAATACAAACGAATTGTAATCGTAGACAATGAAATGTGTAAATCCACTTGTATTTTGGCCCGTACTTT